CCAGAGTGCAGGGGCACCGTGGGGAGCTGCCAGATCCTTTGTAGAGTGCTGCCAGGTGTGAAGATATAAACAGATAAGCTAAAGAGAGACATCCAGTCTCAGGCTTGTTCCTGCCTGAATATGATTCCCCCACCCACAGTGCCCAGCCCTCGGCAAGGAGGTAAGCACTGTAATATATAAATTAGCGTTTGAAATTAGGTCCCATTCAAGTCACAGAAGTTATGCCTCAAGTCCAGTGAGGGGCGCCTCGGGTCCAGAAAGGTTGAGAACCATTGGCTAGATGTTTAGCACCTTTCTTTGGTTGCCACAGTCCTATCAGCGGCTGGGGCCATCTCAGGCTTGTTGCACATTGGCCCAGCTGCTGCAGTGGAGCCTCACAATGCTGCCAGAAACTTGTGGGCATGCACATGCTTTAGCATCGGGGTGAGCAGAGTCTGGCCTGCAGGCCAGATTGGGCCCGTGGCAGACTCCCAGCAGCCCTTGCCTGCATCGCTGTGGCCAGTTTCCATGGATACACCAGCAGCGGCAGGGACACAATTTCCATGGATACCGGCTCCAGCAGCCCTGGCAAGGTATGCTGCTGGGTGTAGAGCTGCTCTGGGGCTGGGATTTTGCAGCAGTGCCAGAGTGATCTGGAGCCAGGGTAGAACTGTAATCTGCTGCCCACATGCCCCAGGCAGGGGTATGCAGGCAGTGGATTGCAGCTCTGCTCCGGCTCTGGACCACACTGTCAGTGTCACAAGATCCCAGGTCCAGAGCAGCTCTCTGCCCAGCTGCATGTTCTGCCAGTATTGCTGGGCCCATTTCTATGTGAACCCTTGTCCTGTGCTGTCATGGCCCTGCTGCTGCATGGGCAGGGGCTGCTGGGAAATGGAGTCTGGCCACCCATGGGATCTGCCATTTTTCCTGCCCTGGCTGTAGCAGCTTGGCATTGGCAGTGGCTATTTGGTAAGTATAGACAAGACCTGAATTTCCCTTCTGTTTCTGAAAGTGGCCTCTCTATGCCTGGGATAAGACTAAAAATGGGACAGTGGAGAAGCAGGAAAATGTGGAGTGCTGCTCCCTGGGCTTCACCTGTTCATTGGAGATGAACCTTCAATCTCCAGGATGCTAAGCACTTCCCTTTAAGCAGCATTTAACTAATAAATAAGGTACTTCGGGCCTTGGGTGGTTTTCTTCTGAAGGCTTAACATTTTCCCTCCATTGCTGAGCCAAACCCACACCTTACCAATGCAAAGTGTCAAATTCCAAGGACATAAATGCTAAATATGGCTTTTTTCATTGTGGTTTTGAAGGTTACTTTTGTGTTTTACATTAGACAAAATAAAATTAACTAGTGATAAAATATCTAAGTCTTTGCTTTGAGGGAGATGCCCGTTTGGCATTCTGGTGTCAAAACATTTCCAAAGAGTTGTAGATAAAATGCTATCTTCTTTCATCCTAATTTCACCACATTGGGCGTTACAAACATGCTTTACACACTGAGAGGAATTGTGCGCTGGGGCTGTATGAAGCTTCAGTTGCTGATTCGATTTGGAGGAGATTCAGCCCAATTCAGCAGGCAAATCCGAATTGAATCAGAAAATCCATTAATCTCTCCGAATTGAATCGGAAGCCTCCAATTTGATTTGGAGAGATTTAACAATTCGGCCATAGGCACAGCTTTATATGTGTGTTTTTTGTTTTTTTTTTCAACATACCTCAAGGTACCAGGTGCAGCTCATGAATGCTGAGGTGGAGGAAGCATCCCATGGGAGCACGGGGTGGGGGTCCCCTGTGTGCTCTGCAGCAGACCCGGAAGTGGACCAGAAGTACTTTCAGTCCACTCCCAGGTCTGCTGTGGAGCATGCAGGGGGGGACCTTCCCTCTCCCCTGCCCTCAGCTCAGCAACTGGTGTCTCCTGGGTCTGGAGGGGCACACAGGGTCCCCATGCAGCCAGTTGCTGAGCCACGCGACCCCAGGATGGGAGTCCCCCCACACTCTCAGTAGCAACCCGAAAGTGGACTGGAAGTACTTCCAGGTCCATTGCCGAGCATGTAGGGGACGCCCTCCCTGCAGTCTTGTGGGACGCTCCATCCGCCCCATCATGAGCCACGCTTGGTACCTCAGGATATGTAGAAAAAACATACAAAGCTGTGTCTATGGCCAAATCACTGATTCTCCAAATCTGAATCAAATCTTCAGATTTGGCCGAATCAAATCAGGACTGTGATCTGAATCAGTGAATTGAATCACTGTCCGCCGAATCCAGATGGACTACTTCCCGCTTTGCACACCCATAATGTGCACCACCCACTAGCCTGGACTAGATAGGGTAAGTGGTTCCTGTCAGACCTTGCATCCTCCTGGCGATCACAGTGAACTTATTTGGGGAGGCATAAACTTGATGAAATAGCAGCAGATGTGATTTTTAAGGAAGCCTTGTTTCTCATAGGAATCGCAGTATGCGAACAGTGTTCACGATCTGCATGCAAAACACATGATGGCCAATAGCACCATGTAATCTCTTTTAATATGTGGGCTACGGGAGCACCTTAGGAGTATTGTGAAGCCTTGGATTCAGTGCTTAATTAGACTAAGAAGAGAGCCCCATGTCAGCCATGAAAAATGTCTGTTAAGAATCTCAATGAAAGAAAGTCAGCCTGGCAGTTCTGTTGAAACAACACGCAGCCCTTCCCCCATCCATCTTGTTTGTAGAGCTGAATGCTAACTGGGTGGAGCGAGATACAGTCATCAGCTGTCTACCCAATTCTACTCTCGCTGCAGAAAGATTTAGAAATTCAGACAGGCACCATGAACCAACTGAAACAAGTTTAAATTAAGGTAAAACATGAAAGTCTTGTTTGTGTAGAGACTTCACACAAGTTCTTAATTCATGTTTTGGGGTAGGGAACAGCGTAGCAAAGCAGGGCATTTAATTTGGCAATGGCTTTTGAAATGTCCAAGGTGATGGACAGTCTCTGGAAAGAGAAGGAAGTGATGGTAGCAGAAAGCACAGTAATCACAATGTAACTGCGAAAGGAGAGGCCACTGGGCATGAGCAGCCTACTTGGCTTTGCTCTCTAGCCATCAAAGCTTTTTTTTTTTTTTTTGGCATTTAAGCGCCAGCAGCAGACTTGAACAAAGGAAGTACTATGTTTGCACTGCTCCTCCATGTCTTTGATAAAGTGTGGAGTCATTGGGATCTGAAGAAAGAAACTGTATGGTATTCAGATGAGTCGGCATTTCCATTTCATATGAACATTTGGCAGTTCTGCAACACAGGCATGAAAAAAAGAATGTGATCCTGGCTGAAACTTGGCAGTCCCGGTCTCAGCCAGAAAGCAATTCCTTTTGGGAAAGGTGTTTTTTGAGTTACACAAGTGCAGGTTTTCTTGAAGAAATGTTACATAAAGACTTTTTTTTGCATTTGTTTACCTCGAAAACAGGTTCATTTTTAAAAAAAATGAAAACTTAATGCCATTGGTTCCCTATGTGGACAGGTCACCTTGCAAAAAAAACAAAGGGGGGGGGGCTTTTTCATTTTATAAAAATGAACTGCTGCACAGGTGGGGTAGCATTTGGTCACATAAAAAGTTCCTGTCAGTGTTTTTTTTTTTTTTAATCCTGTTTTTGTTTTCTTTTTTGTTTGTGGACTTGCTGTGCAATTTGCCCGGCCGCATTTAGTCTGCATACTAAACGTTAGTTTGCCCAAGTATATTTTACTTTGTGCACTTAGCCTTTTTATTTTTTGCCTTCAAGCAAACGTACTTTAGGCTAATACAGACTTTACGCTGATGGGCCGGATTTTAGTCCGTGCACTAAATTTTAGTCCGCAGACTAAAAATAATCCGCGGATTATTTACTAAAATCAATTCCCTCACTGAAAACTACATTAGGAGTGTTAAACTGTCTAGCCAACACACAGAAGTGAGGGAGTTCACAGCTAACGGTGAGTCCTGCCATCTGTCCTCCTGGCACCTAGGCACAATAGAGCACTGCCGGCAGCCCAACGCTGGATGTGCCCTGTTGTGCTTAAGTGTTGGCATACATATTGTTGTGCACTTCACCTGTAACTGTGACTGTCCCTTGCTCTTGATGTTTAGTGTTGTACCCTTCTGTGTAGTTCTTGGTGGGTGAATTTCAGGTGGAACTGTGTTGAATTAGTGGAGCTAAAAGATGCAGGGAGTTTGCTTTATTTTTAATGTGTTATTCCAAAAGAAATAAAATAAATTTTCTAAGTAATGGGTGCGACGGTATGAGGGGGAAAAACCCACGCTAAAGAGGAAAAACAAATTAAGTAATTAAGTCCATACCCGCACTCCAGAGGTGATATGTCCAGTTCTTGAAGGATCCCAAAGAGATAACGTCAACAAACAAAATCCATTGGTGGGGAAGTCAATCCAAAATGGAGAATAATCCGCGGCGGCCTGATACGCACATAGCTCTCTCAAATTTGAAAACAGCCAAATTAGAAATGCAGATTAAGCCATTTTGTTTTCTCTTCAGCACAAAATTATAATTTGCTGATTTTTTTTTTTTTAAAGGAAAATAAATTCTCATGTTGCGTCTCTGGGACAGATTTATACAGGAAGAATGAGGATTCTGTGTGCAAGGGCTGCACACATTGAGACAAATTAATTTGGCCCTATTGTCTATGGACAGAGGATTGCAAATTCTTTACGATGGGAATTCAATTATTCTTTCAGTTCTAGTTAGAATTTTTATTTCAATTTTTTATTTTTTTAGTAAATGCACTGGCATTGGAACATAAATTTAATATAGAAATGTTTCTATACTATGCCTCACCATTGCACAATCAACTTTTTTGGCATACACTGTGGTGAAGTTGGACTTGCTGCTATGGAGACTGATGTTTAAAGTTTCTAATTGTATAAACATTTTCTATGTCCCCACACCATGGATTTCTTATAATATTGGATATATTTTTCCTTGCTGGACTATTCTCTTTTGGATTGACTCCCCCTGTTTGGATTATTTCACTGCATTATCAACTTTAGGACTCGTCAGGAACAGGACATTTCACCTCAGGAGTGCGGGTATGTACTTCAATGTTTTTTCAAATTATTAGGGCTAGTTTGAAATGAGGAAAGAGAAAAGCTTAAAAAAAACCAAAAAGAGAGAAACGTTGAATTCAAATGGCCATGTGTCAGATGGTAACCAGGTGAATGTTTTCCCTTTGTGATGCCAGAGTGCAAAGG